AATAGTGTTTCTAAAATGAGTATAGTAATAGTATATACCTCCTAGGGTGATGGTGAGGATCAAAGAGTCAATATAAGCAAAGCTTAAACAGGACCTGACAAATAAGCCCTATGTCCATGGCCCTCTTCCTGTCTTCTCCCTCCTCTTTCCCACCTTTATCCTCCTACTCTGGAAGGTCCTCCCTTCCACACTTAATATACTGGCTGGTGCTTTCAACCCTACTCCAATAGTTTCAACAGTTACAAATCACTACTCTGAGTTGAGTCAAATTGTTTTACTTCTAGTATCTCTTGTTTACCAAGAGATACTAGAAGTATGTATCTCATTATTTATATTGAATCCCCCACCTAACCTTCAATAAATAATTTAACTACATTGATTCAGCCAAACTTTTTTTTTTCCATAAAATAATAGGCACAGCACATTGGCTCATGCCTGTAATCCCAGCATCTCGGGAGGCTGAGGCAGGAGGATTGTGAGTTCGAAGCCAGCCTTAGCAACTTAGTGAGGCCCTACCTAAATAAATTATAAATAAGGGCTGGGAATGTGGTTCAGTGGTTTGTGGTTTAAGCACCTCTGGGTTCAATCCCAGGTACCAAAAAGAAAAACAAAAATAGAGAGAAAGACCAGATGTTCTAAGACCCTTTTCTCTCCTTTTAAATTTGTCCTTCTCTGGTGAAAAGAGACTCTCATCATTATACAAAATACATGTATGAAGATGTGAAAAAAAATAAAAATAAATAAATTTGTCCTTCTGTGGTATGAGGTTATCATGCAGTTATGAGCACCTCACCTACGCCAGATACTCAGCAGATGTTGGAGAGTCGCAGTGACTTTATAGTCCTTGCCCTGGCTGTTGTTTTCAGCATTATTTCAATGTTTCTTTCTTACTTTTTTGTTCCTCAGTTTATCTTAAATAAATTCAATTTGTTCAATATTTATGAAATATTCAAAGTGTGGCTAAACACACAGGCTTATAAATGTGAATGATGTATAATGCCAACACCAAGTGGATTAAAAACCGACATCAGGTAGAAGACAGTAATCCAAGACCCCTGACAAGAAGCAATTCCAAATGTGCTCTCCACAAAGCATTCAATGCTAGTGACCTTAGGAAGAGGGCAAGTTTCTGGACACGTGTAGTGCAACCAAGAACAGGGTTCTGATGACGAGTCCTGAGGGAGAAGGGTCTGGAGACCGGGATGGTAGATAGGGCAAAGCGGGGCTCCTTCCACAGGGAGGGCTCACCAAGAAGCCTGGAAAATGAAGACTGGTCTTTGAGAATGATTTTACAGTTTGTTACAGTGTAAGATAAATATGGGAGCCTCGTGGATACGGCATTGGAATGGAGGGTTGAGGATACTAGAGTTTCATATGTTATTTTAATGTTTACCTTAACTTTTAGCTGTAGAATGACACTATTTTGCTGGTGGTCCCTCAGGTTCTCTCTACATCGAGCTCTCTGATTCTTCTTTTTGTCTCATACCCGTGATCTGACTATGAACACCTGTAAGGCTCAGTCTCTGGCTTGGTCTTTTGCTGTCTCCTTACTTGGTGAACAGGTTTTGCTGAGACTGGGGCCACTGCTAAGAAGCAACATCCTTCTTTCTTCCTCCTCAGTCCTTTGCAAAAGCTGTTTCCACAAAGGCATCTACATAGGAGCCTTCTGTGTGGGTTTGGAAACTCCTGAGGTCTAAATTCCACTCTGCCCCTCAGAACCAAGATCCATGTCCTACTTATTGTGGGGGAAAAAATGAATGAATGAGTGCGGGGAGCCAGGGAGAGAAAGAGTAAGTCCGTGGGCTCCTAGAGATGATATAGAGACCCGTGCAGATCATTAGACTTCAAATATGCTTGCCATTTCCTTAGGTGGATTTTCTGAAGAGGCAGAAGTACCTGGCGTCAACTATGTTCTCTCTCCCTACAAGCTGAACTTGGTTGCTACTCCTCTTTTCTTGAAGCCTGGGATTCCATATTCTATCAAGGTAGGTCATTTGCTTCTGCTGTGTCTGAGTGCCTTTCTGTGGGTCTCACTTTCTCTCTCTGCTGTCTCTGGGCACACCCTGTTTGGTCTCTCCTCTGTCTATGTTGCTCTCTGTCCTTCCCAGTTGGACTTTCTGTCTCTATCTTCTGCACTTTTTGCTCCCTTTTCTATTGTTTCTTTTTAAAATGCTAATAATATAGAGTCAAAGCATCCTTTTCATGTTTATTGTATTTATTATTGTATTCAGTATTTTATTTAAAATAATGTTATATATTCCATCTTTAATTTAGAACGCCTAGAGCATGATATTTTAATTTTTTCTTTGAAAATATTTTTCTTTTAATAATATTCTTTTACATACATATACAATATATAATGTATTATCGCATAATACATAGTGATACGTAATATATTACACAATAAAATATTTGAAATATAATATTAAATTTTATGTCACATATAAAAATAACATAAAACATCATTATACAATATACATGTATGAAGATGTGAATTTGGTGTCGACATACCTTACATACAAACAGAGATATGATAAATGGTATAAAGGTGGTATAAAGGTGTAATAAGAATTGTATGCAAAAAAAAATAAGAGAGCTCATTATAATGGCATAATTTGGTGTGCACATACTTTATACACAGAGCTACAAAAATTGTGCTGTGAATGGATAATTATGAATGTAATGCACCTCACTATTGTCATGTATGTAAGAAATAAATTTTAAAAAGAAAAAAAATAACATAAAGCAAAAGATATCCTTTTGGAAATAATATATGCATGCTGGTGCAAGATAGAGGTTAAGAAAAAAAATGTTATTTATTGTATCTCATACACAAAAGAATCATTCCCAGAAGCCATTGCTTCATTTTCTCCATTATCCAGTTCCAATATAATTAAAGAAATGCAGAAGGTGGAACATAGATCTTGCCACATCTTCTTGGTTGGCATAATGAAATGATATTTATGTTCTGAGTCAGGTTGATATGTGGAGGAATCCATTCAAGATGATTAAACTAAATAGAATTTAATATTTCTATATGTCGAGAACACAATCTTACTGAATTAACAACCACAATGAATTTATGCGTTTGTAGAGAGGAAGGAAAAAGATCCAGACTTGTTGGGCTTTCAAGGTCATGATGAGCTGTTGACGTGGATGGAATTGTTCTGACAAACAGGTGCAGGTTAAGGATTCTCTGGACCAGTTGGTAGGCGGGGTCCCTGTAACCCTGAATGCACAAACCATTGATGCAAACCAAGAGATGGCCGACTTGGAACCACAGAAGAGCATCACACGTCTCAGTGATGGAGTAGCCTCGTTTGTGGTTAACCTCCCATCTGGAGTGACAACACTGGAGTTTGATGTGAGCTGAATCTCCGGCTATATTTTCTAGGACAGTGTGTACTTTTGACTGTATGTTTTGGCAAGTGTAGAGAACAGATGTGGCAGATTTCATACATGAGTCCAGTGAACAGTTCTACAATTCTGAAAACAAACCAAATGACAAGAGACACTCTTCTTTTTCATTGAATGGTCCTTGAGGAAGATCAATCAATCCATATTTTGTTTCCAATAAAAGTATATTAGAGGGGCTGGGGTTGTGGGTTGGTGGTACAGCACTTGCCTACCACGTGTGAGGCCCTGAGTTCAATCCTCAGCACCACATAAAAATAAATAAAGTAAATAAAGGTATTGTGTCCAACTACAACTAAAAAATAAATATTTTTTAAAAGTATATTAGAATCCAGAAACTTCAGAATAGGTATAGGAGTGGGCATCAGTGGTAGGAATCCCCTCCCCCAACACACCCATTCTTTCAGGGCCATACAAGGGTCAAATATGGAAGCTTCCCTTTTCTCTAATGCACAAACCACTCTGCTTTAGGGTTCAATCATCCTGTCTCCCAGCAAATAATGTTTAGGTTCCCAGTCTCAACCCAGGTATAACTAACCACACAGATCAATGACTGCAGCATGCACAGATTCACTATCATCTACTGAGCCCTTACTGAATACTTAGGCATTGTGCTAAGAGATTTCTGAAGAACAAATTCATTTGTCAGCAGTAAGAGTTGGAAAATATCATCTTTGCCATTTTGTGTCAGAGGAAAGGAGACTTTTACCTCTGTTTTGATCTCTGTTTTGATCAAATAACTTATCCAGAATTAATAAGTGGCAGCACCAGGATGCAAACCGATGTGTACCTGACCCCAGATCACAAGCTAGTAATCTTTCTGCTGTCTGAAGGCAGATTTTCCTGCCACAATACCACAGATGGTATCTGTCATCATAGATGACACTGTGATGACACTAACTTCTAACTTCTGCCCCCCTCCTTGAGTTGATGCTACCTCCCACCAATTTCCCTCTCCTTCCTGAATCCCTGCCCTCCCATCCCCAAAAAGAGTAGTCAAGCTCACGTGGTATTTCAGGAAGAGAGCCAGTGTTTGTTCCTGGAGCATCTTTCTCTCTGCATTTCACCAGACTTTTCCACCATGGCCCACAATCCCATCATTATTTTCCATAGTCTTTGCAAAGTTACTTGATACTGCAGCTGTACAAACACTGGAGTGCTGGAACTTCCCCCTCCCAACCCACTTCCCTTTGGTATTTTGTCTTGTGAAATTCAGAAATTTAAAAAGCAAAGAATTGGAAAGTTGTTTTATAAAAGCGTGACTCACCATCCAAATGTCTTTTTGAAAAATTTTCTTTTTCAGGTCAAAACTAATGACCCAGATCTTCCAGAAGAAAATCAGGCCAGCAGAAATTACCAAGCAATCACATACTCATCACTCAGCCAAAGTTACCTTTATATTGATTGGACTGGAAACTATAAGCCTCTGCTAGTAGGAGAACATCTGAATATTATTGTTACTCCCAAAAGTCCGTATATTGACAAAATAACTCACTACAATTTCTTGGTAAGTATAATAATGATAGATTTACATCTCATTCACCCACCTGGAAAAATATCTTAGGTTTAGAGAAGCATTGGAATGGTTCTTTACATTTGTAAATACAAAGCACTTTCGATAACATCACTTACGGGCTAGAGATGTAGCTGGGTAGACCACTTGCCTACCACGCCCAAGTCCCTGGATTCAATTCCCAGCACTGCACACACACACATCATCTAATTTGAATATTAAGTTTTCAAAACCTTTTCACATAGTGCACGATTTTCATAACCATTTCACAGATGAGGAAGTTGAGGTGATATGATTAGGTAATATGACTTACCATGGTCTCTTAGCTCAGCTGAAAAAGATTTGACTTGAACCAAGGACCTCTATTTCCTGATCTGATAACTCTTCTCAGCAAAGAGAGCCTGATTCAATGACATCACCTTTGCTGTTTCGTAGCCAAAAAATATACTCCTGCACCTAGTTCAAATATGTGCATTTCACTGGCACAAAATGGGGGGAATCCAAATCCAGCTCTGAAGAGTCGTGTCTTATTGACCCTGCTATTAGCAACACCTCTATTGTAACACCCACCTTTGACAGGAGATGGAGCAGTCAGGCCTGTTGGTGAAGCCAAGGAAAGAATGTGCAAAAAATGTCAAGGGCTTCCTGCAGTCACCAAAGACATAGAAGGAATCGTTCCACAGGCCAGGTCAAGCAGGTGGTGAGGCTCTTTGAATAATTTTGAGGAAGAAATAGAAAAATAAATGAGGACCATACAAAAATATTGACTGATGAAGAACAGGGAAACAGCTTATGGATTACTATTCTAAAACCATGTAAGCAGTCCTTTTCTCCAAAGACACAATTTTTTAAAATGTTTTTTTTATTGGTCAATTAAGGGGATTAAGAAAAAACTTAACCCTCCCATTTAGAATCAAATCCATGCTTAAAACCTGAATCCCCCCAAAAGATGCCCTCCACCTACTTGTCTTTTTTTTTTTTAAATCAATGAAACAAAAGAGGGTTTAGTGACAGTATGTGATTCGAACAGATTTGGGTTCAAATTTTAGCTCTCTAATTTCTAGATAGGTCATTTTCAATTAAAATCAGTATGACTTTTTATTTTTTTATTTTTTTTTCAGTCTGACTTTGTTAGTTTCTGAGCCTCAGATTCTCCAATGGGGGTACTATGCCTATCCCACTGCTGTACTGTAAGAACTGAAGGAGCTAAATAAAGGTCAAAGTGCCTGGCGCATAGTAGGAATATACATACATTTTTTTTCCTCCAATTTCCATCCTGATGCACAGGTTTTGTTTTTATACTTATTTTCATTACTGCTGTTTATTTTTAGATTTTATCCAGGGGCAAAATTGTACACTTTGGCACAAGAGAGAAGATTCTAGATTCAACTTATCAAAGTATAAACATCCCAGTGACTCAGAACATGGTTCCTTCCGCTCGACTTCTGGTCTATTACATCGTCACAGGAGAGCAGACTGCAGAATTAGTGTCCGACTCGGTCTGGTTAAATATTGAAGAGAAGTGTGACAATCAGCTCCAGGTGAGACACAAATTATGTATCACAACTAATTTTTTTTTTATGGAAGTTGTCAAAGCGGCTGCCTCTGAACAGTTCTGTCACATACAAATGTTCTTTTTCACATGAACTTCTAGGTTCGTCTGTCTCCAGATGCCGATACATATTCTCCAGGCCAAGACGTGTCTCTTAACTTGGCAACTGAGCAAGAGTCGTGGGTGGCAGTCACAGCAGTGGACAGGGCTGTGTATGGAGTCCAAGGAAGAGCCAGAAAGCCCATGGAAAGGGTTAAGTAGTGCTGTTCTGGGGTCTCTGTGGGAGGTGTGGCTCAGTGCAGCCTTCAGCAGGGTGGCCACCAGGACAGGTTGGGGGAGAGTTTGGGCAACACGGCCTGCTTCTCCACAAGGTCCTCAGCACAGTGGGTCTTAGGAAGGTCAACCACCGTCAGCTAATATTTAAGCACAAGTCAGTGCTTTTTTGCTTTCCAAATACAGATCCAAGCACTTTAAAAACACACGATCATGGTAGCAATTGTATTTATGGGGCAAAAGCGCCCTCAACTCAGAGAGCTGGAGGATTTAGGGTAGCATGTGGTGGTGGGGACAGAAACAGCACAAGAGAAGCCCGGACACAAAATCTTGGGGTTGGTTTATGTAACTCAATAAATCTGTGGCGCAGAAGAATTTGACAATGACTCAATTCCCTAAGTTCCCGTTTATTTCCACTACACTCAGCTATTATTGTCTTGGCTTGGGTTTGCTTGAACAAGGGAAGAACAAACTAAGAAACTGCAAAGTTAAAACTATTCACAGTGGAGAGGACATTTGAAGTCAAATTTCAAACTGAAATAAGCCCCCAGATCAGTCCTTCTCCACTAGAGCCTTCTCTTGGAAACATAAGAGGGCATGTTCTTTTTCTATTTAGCACCTAAAAATTAGTTTAATGACTCACCCCTTTGTGCTTTCACCTATTCATTCATTTGTTTTGGACATTTATTGCAACATATATTTTATGTACAAAACACTCTGGGTCAATTTCTAAGAATTTTCAGTCTTGGATGAATTTTGAATAGGTATATATTTATAAATATAAAATCACAAACTAAAGGAATAGAGATGGGAGATTTGGTCCTGGTCCTTGGAAAAACCTGTGCCCTGTGCACCTCACAGGTTGCGCTAACCACTCAATGCGCAGTATCTTTAGTTCTTCACACACCTGAAGAAGCTCATCCTTTTGCCTTTCTGGACAGGCGTTCCAAGCTCTAGAGAAGAGTGACCTGGGCTGTGGGGCCGGTGGCGGCCGAGACAATGCAGATGTGTTTCATCTGGCTGGACTCACCTTCCTCACCAATGCGAATGCAGAGGACTCCCAAGACTATGGTAAAGCCTGCGTTTATCACTGAGATTGACTTTGATCATTTGCTTCCCAACTCTCCTTTTTGTCCCTCTTCCAGAATATTCTCCACAATGATCTTAGAATGCTGTGACTACATAACTCCCCTGTATAAGGTGTTTCAGTGGCCTTCAAGATAAAGAACAAGTTCTTTAGCATAGTACTCAATACCTTCTGTGATCTTCTCCCGGATCTTCCAACAATTTCTCGTCCTGCTGTTCCTGCCTGTCTACACAGCACCAGGTGTAGCTCTGATCTGCTGCTGTGTTCTTCATACCTTTGGGCCTTTACTCATGGGAACTGCTTTCCCCTTTATTAGCCTGGAGAAGCAAGTAGAAGAATCCTTTCTTCTGGGGGGCCTCTTCCCCACACAGAATTGATCACTCCCTTCTGCTTTAATAGGAGGGTCTTGTAGGGACCAGTCTATTTATAACATGACAGCACTGGGTCATTCATATCCTCACACTCAGTTATAGTCCTGTCTCACTCACAGCCATGTGGGCTCTTCATGGGCAGCGACCACATCTTAATCACTGTACTGTGGTTTTAAAATTGTTCATAATTATACTTGATAATTGTGGTATTTATGTTTGTATTTGTAATAACATAGCTTGTAGAGCAAATAAGAAAAATCTTTACCTTGAAGCTGGAGATCACTTTGGGTAGTATGGCCATTTCGACAATATTAATTCTGCTAGTCCAAGAACGTGGGTGACTTTTCCATCCTCTGATGTCTTCTTTAATTTCTTTCTTAAGTGTTCTATAATTTCATGATAGATATTTTTCGGTTAGATTTATTCACAGTGTTTTGTTTTTGGTGGGGTGTTTTATTTTATTTTGTTTTTAATATTTTTAGTTGTAGATGGACACAATACCTTTATTTTGTCTAGTTATTATTATTTTTTTAATGTGGTGCTAGGGATCGAACCCAGTGCCTCATGCATGTGAGGCAAGCACTCTCCCTCTGAGCCACAACCTCGGCCTTTGTTTTGTTTTTTGAGGCTATTGTGAATGAAATTGTTTTCCTGATTTTTGTTTCATCAGTTTCAATATCAGTGCATAGAAAAACTATTCATTTTTATGTTGATTTTGTATCCTGCTTTGCTAAATTTATTTGTCAGCTGTAGAAGTCTTCTGGTGGAGTTTTTTGGGTCTTCTAGGTAAAGAATCATATCATCTGCAAACAAATAATTCAACTTCTTTTTCTATTTCTCTCCCTCATTTCCCTCTCTTGTCTGGTTGCTCAGGTTACAGTTTCAAGTATGTTGTTGAAGAGGATTGATAGGAATGTCTTGATCCTGATTTTAGAGGAAATACTTTCCAGTTTTTCCCTTTTGAGAATGACGTTGGCTTTGGTTTTGTCATTTATAGCCTTTATGATGGTTGAAGTAACTTCCTTCTATTCCTAATTTCTTCACTGTTTTTAACATGATTGGGTTCTGGATTTTTTGTATCTATTGAGATGGCTTTTCTGTACCTGTTGAGATGATGTTTGTCCTTAATTCTATTTATGAATTCTATTTATGAAGTACTTTTATTGATTTGTGTGTGCTGAACCAACCTTGGATCTCTAGAGTGAAACCAGCTGCATCATGATGTACCATCTTCTTAATGTATTTTTGAATGAGGATGGCTAATATCTTATTTAGGATTTGCTCACTCTAAATGCATAGGTAGTTCTCAATAACCAGTGAGTCCATAAGTTTTCAGATTCAAGACCAAATTCAGATAAAACAAACTATATGACACCATGCCATGATCTCCACTGTGATAAATAAGTCACATTATGATGTGTAATGCACAGTGCCCAATCCAGAGTAAGCAAGAAGTAACACAATTTGTTAAATGAACGAGTTGTGAATGTTTTAAGTACTTAGGCCCATGCAATATTTCTTTTAGCTTTTATTCCCTCTTTCTTTTATTTTTTAATTACACAGATAAACCTTGTAAAGAAATTCTCAGGCCAAGAAGAGATCTGCAACAGAAAATAAAGGAACAAGGTACTCTAAGAGTTTCATGTGATTGTAGAAAGTTCATGATCATATCATCCAAAAACTGGAGAAAATGAAATATCATGTAATTTCTCTTAACTCAAATAGAATGGGTAAAAAGAAAGATATGGATGTCCAACTTGCCTCACTCAGAAAGATTAATCCAAATATATCCAGTAGTCCATTTGCCATAGCCCTAATATGAAAATAAGTCTTTATTACTTTTATCTCTAAAATCTACAATATGAGCTTTGATTTGTCACAAATATTTCCTCACTGACAAATCATATTCTTCCATTTTATTCAGAAAAATATTCATGATTTGATTAACTCTGGGGCATACATAGACATCTGTTTCTTTGCTGAATCTTATCCAGTTATCTGGTCAAGCCTCTTACTTCACAGACCAAGAAACTGAGGCACGAAGACTCAATGTAGATTTATTTTTTATCCTTCCACATTTTTTATTTGTGCATTATAGTTGTACAATTGTGCGTTATAGTTGTATAATTATAGAATTTGTTGTTATCACATATTTGTACATACATACAAAATAACGACATAATTTGGCCAATATCACTTCCTACTACTTTCCCCTTCCTCTCAATATATAGCTAATAGCTAAGCATTTTGGATTATTCTTTGGAAAATAATTCTAATGGGAATTAATTTAAATTGTTATATGACAGTTGATCATTTTATAGTACAAAGAACATCAATCTGAGAGTCCGGAGCCTGAGTTCAGCTAGTGATCATGTTTATAGTAACTTGCATATGAGCTACTGTAATTCTAACCTTCATTCTGTGTTCTAATGTTATGAAAGGAGAGAGGTTGATTAATCTGAGCCCTTACAATGAAGGATGATGCCACTGGTGAAGGTCTGCAGATATGTCATATAAGAAATGTTTCAAAAAAATAGAATATTTAGCTTATATAAGGAAATTCCTGTATAATAATGATAGCTATCTTCAAATATTTAAAGGCCTTCTTGGACACTTAGCTTATTATACTCAAAGTATGCTGAACCCCAAGTGCCATTTTCAAAAGTTAGTACTTAGCTTAGTTGCAGAAAGCCCTTCAGCCATTTAGTGTGAATTGAGATGGACCACCTGGTGGGGTCATCGTCTCCCTCTTCTAGCCTAATTCCTAGGACAGGCAACTAGGTATGGCTATTGTGGGTAAGGGGGCATTTGGTAGTAGAAATCAAGTGAGAGATGCTAGGATTCAGTCTGGTCAAAGGCATTTGTATTATTATTCTTTTAGCTGATAAATACAAACATCCCGTGCCAAAGAAGTGTTGCTATGATGGAGCCCGTCGTAATGATGATGAAACCTGCGAGCAGCGGGTTGCACGGATTACTGTAGGCCCATTCTGTATCAGAGCTTTCAATGAATGTTGTATCATCGCAAAACAGTATCGAGATGCAGATCCTCATAAAAATATCCAGTTGGGAAGGCTAAGTGAGTATGACATTTTCTATCCGATTTCTGCGCAATGTGGAGAATTGTGTGTAATTTTATGCTGCTAAGAAAAGCAGTTTTTATGCTGTAGTTGAAAATAGAAACAACTTGTAAAGGCCCCAAAAAAAAAATATGCTGTCATTTTGGGGAAATTGAAGAGATATAGTATAGAGCAGAGCACACTAGTTGAGAACCAACACCCAGTGAAAACCTAAAGGTTTACCAACTCAGTTTGTAAATATTAATGACTATTTATTCTCTGTGAGATAAATCCTCAGTTTGTAAATATTAATGACTATCTATCCTCCAAGCAAGACACTTGGAATGGATAGCTCCAATATGCCTTTGAGTTCTATCATTCTGTAGTGCTGTGGTATTACAACCATTAAAAATTGTTTATAGCTACACTGACCAAATATATAGCAAGAGTGTTTTAATTCTAGCTTAAGGTTAATTGTACTTATAAAAGTTGAAATCTCATTTTAGCTTCAGCCATAATAAATGTTTTCAGGATTTATAAAACTCTTTTTAATGTTTTTAAACTTTTAGGACTTTGATTTATATATCATCTTAAAGAAAATGAACAAAAGGGGCTATTGCTCAGTGGTAGGGTGCTTGCCTAGCATGCGTGATGCACTGGGTTCAATCCTCAGCACCACATAAAAATAGAATAATAATAAAGTGAAGATGTTGTGCCCACCTAAACTAAAAAATAAACATTTAAAAAAGAGTGGGGGAAATTAAAAAAGAAAATGAACAAAAGCACATAGCCTTTAAGAAAACAAAGGAAAGCAAGTGACAGATCTTTCTTTTACCCTGACTTTTGCTTACCTATGTATTTTAAACATTGCCCTTCCCAGAAATGGGTGCATTTCTACACAAATAAATGTTATGGCTATTTATGAAAACCATGTCATTAGATATATTGGAGTTGTTTTCAATTTTGGGTTTATTACGAGCAGCATCTTGATAAACAGTCTAGTACTCTTTTTTTTTTTTTTTTTTTGCTGCCTAGTTTTTCAGTTAAAATAATCTGGTTGGCCTCAGCTACCTAGAATTCCCTCTCTACGGCCCCTTCCTCTCTGGAGGCTCTACCTGTCCTTCTAGACAGCTGTGGAGCCTCGAGTCTTCAAGACCACTAGGCTCCGCGTGGCCTCCTCTGCTGCCTCCAAGCAGTAAGCTGGGGCCATGTTAGGACTCTCTCCCCTCAGGGCTCGTGGTCCTGTGCTGTTATGTCCTAAGGACTGAAAACTGTTGCTTTATATATTGTGTAGCATTTTCTAGATTTTTAAGTGAGGGGTAAATCCAGTACACCTTGGATAGAAGCAGAAGTTCTGACTATTTTTATTAAAGTAAATATAAATAAAACATTGAGTTAAGGCAAGGAATCACATAAAATTTGCCTATTTTCTAATATAGACACAATTATTAAAATTGTAGAAGTGAATGTAATTTTATAGACTAACCAGTATCTTGCATAACCTCGGTCAAACTAAACATTTAACACTCTAAGGGAAAAAAATCATAAAGATGTTTTTCTACTTTGTCTTATCAGTGCTGTTAGTGGAGAAATCCTAGGCCTTTACAGTTCTGTTTTGAAATCACTAAGCAAAATGTTTTATTGGCCTTTTGGAAAACACCTAAGTAATAGATTAACAGCCATATTTTAAAATTCATCTTCAAAGAGAATTTATATTGTTTTTCCATAACTGAATATGCTTTTCCCTACTCCCCAGATATAAAGACCCTGTTACCAGTAAGCAAGCCAGAAATTCGGAGCTACTTCCCAGAAAGCTGGTTATGGGAAGTTCATTTTGTTCCCAAAAGGTATTCTACTTCTTTCATGTTTCTCTGGAAAAAAAAAAAGTGTGGAAAATGAAAATATTATGGCCAAAAATCTGGATGCTACTCATTCCCCATAGTTTGCTTTAGAGTTAAGATGATCCCACCATCTGGTCCAGTTTTGTTCTGTTTCGCTTCCTGATTTTTTGTTTTGTTTTGTTTTGGTTTGGTTTTTGTAGTGTACTTTGCTGTGATAATTCCTTCCAGGGCAGCATTAATTATTGGTAAAGAAGAGTACTCTTCCATTCTATTTCATTTCACTTTAGGATCCATTTAATACATGCAGTTGTGTGCTCTACACCTAAGCAGCTATTTTTATCTTAATAATAGCTGTACAATAAAATAAGCATTAATAAACAAAAAGATTAATTATTGTCTTGTTAAAGTCTTATTTGAACCGGGCATGGTGGCACATGCCTTTAATCCCAGTGGTTTGGGTGGCTGAAGCAGGAGGATTG